AAGACAGCATGAAGAACCATCTGGAATGGTACAGAGTACGTTCCAGACAGGTACGGAGTCGCAGATCACAGAGCTGAACTAGAGATGCCACATGTGATATCGTTCTGGGCTACAGACTATAACCTTCACAGGGAGCTCCTCAAACAGTCTCCTCCTCGTGCAGCATTATCTATGTTCTGAGCAAACTAAACCCACTTATTAGTTATTCCTAGCCCTTACCCCTCTTTCACAAATGAGAAAATGAAAGTCCTGAGTTGAATATGATGAGATAACACAAGGATTCAGAACAGACGCGTGGTGTACATGCACCCAATGTTTCTGAGAAGATCCATGGACAGTGGTGGGCACAGAGGGGGAGCCTGGAGCTGAGAGGGTAGGCAGGGGCTTCCTCTTCCTCTAAGTCCTCTTGTCCTTTCACATTTGTACAGTGTGCACACATTACTACAGTTGAGGAATCCAAGGATACAGAGTGCCAATGTGGGCACTGGCGCATCCAAGGATTCTGTTGTCCTCGGGGCGGGGGTGGGGTGTCCTGGAATAAACCCCCCATGGATACCAAGGGATGCTTCTCCTTATAATCAGCTCTCACAGAATGTAAGTAGCTCCATCCCACCTCCTTCCTGCAGGACTCCCGCAAGGAGACTCCTCCTTCCCCCAGTCTCCTCTGGAAAACCTAGGGAGCCCTAGCAGAGACTGGGTGGCCTGTTACCACACAAAATCTCAGACATGTTGGCAAGGGTAGTAGGGAGATGTTACGAAGTCTCCAATGTAGCTGTTGCTGGAAACACGGAATATTGGAACGAGTGAGATGGCACCATGAGAAAACAACCAGACACATCCAGAATAAGGGTCATTCTATATGACAAACTGGTGTGAACACTCAAGAAAGTGGTTGTCACGGAAAGTAAAAAAAAAAAAAAGATATTGGCGGGGGGTGGTGGTGGCTGTTCTAGATTAAAAGAGGCTGATGAGACATTACCACCTAAAGTAAGGTATGGGCTTTGCTTGGATCCTGGATGGGGATAGGCTAGGGCAGTGGTTCTCAACCTTTCTAAAGCCTCAATGTATTTTCATTGTTAAAAAGGGGTCACGACCCACAGGTTGAGAACCGCTGGGCTAGAGAGAAGGGACAACGATAAAAGATACTTTGGGGACAGCTGGGAAAGCTGAACTTGAATCTGACATCATAAGGTGGTATGAGATTACTGATGATTTTGTTAGGTGTGATAATGGTATTGAGGTTGTGTTAGAGAATATCCTCACTCTTAGAAGCATAGCAAAGAATTTAGAGGTAAAGTACTACGCTGCTTATACATGTACACTTTACTTTCACATGAGTTAGATGGGAGAGGGAAAGTGCTGTAGATATTTGGAGAGAAACCTTAGGGAAGTGAGGCAAGATGTTAACAACTGCTGAACGTATGTGAAGAACATACAGGTCCTCATTTTACTGTTCTTTAAAGTTCTCTGTTGGTTTAAAATTTTTCCAAATAAAAAAGTTGGGAAATAAAGGGGAAAGTTTAAAAATAAAACCAAACAAAAAAAAAGGAAAAACAAACAAAAGAAGAGCCCTGGGGTCTGTCCTACTCTGTCTCCAACCAGCCTTCCGACTTTGGGGAGAGTCCTTTGTGCGTCTGGGTCTCTGTTTCCTGTTTGTGGAAGGAGGAACTACAGTCAATGACCTCCAAAGTGACCCTCGTTCTAATGTGTGTGACCATGACGAGGAATTTGCAGGAACAGGACTCCTGGCCCTCCTTGTTTCTCCAGAGACTCACCCAAGCACCGGTTTTCCTAAAAGAAGCTCTAATAAGGTCTTTCCCTTTGTTTGGGAAGATATACATTGTTTCTTAAGACTTTTTTTTTTCCTTTAAAAATATTCTAATAGAACCGAAGTGAGGGTAAAGGTTATGTTTACAAGTGCAAGAAAGTGCACAAAAACCCATTAAAATGCTTACCTTTAAAAATCTAATAGCATAAAAATGATAAAGCTCCTTCAAGCCCCAAGAAACTTTAGTTCATTTTGGTGTCTTGCTACAATTTCCTCTGGATTTGTCGGTCAGACGGTTGTCTTCTCAATATGCCTGTGGTTATACTTATGAAGACGGAGGAAGTTCTTTACACCCCTGGGGCAACTGAAGACAGTACCAGCAAAACGCTGCTTTAGGGACGATGCCCTGAAGAGTGTGCAAAAGGCTCTGTGCCTACACATCACTCACAGAGCCTCTATGGCAGCCGCTCGACATGTGGGTCGCCACCCACGGGAACAGTATTAAAGGGCCTCGGCATTAGGAAGGTTGAGAACCACTGCTCTATGGGAACCAGTGGTTCTCCTATGTCTCCCTCACTAGGTTCCAAGCTCAGCTTTGTACCTAGCAGAGTGCTCTGCCTTTAGCAAGCGTTCAATTAATGTTTGTAATTTTGTTGAATGTAATGGACTTCCAGCAGGCCATAGCCCAGCAGTTTAGTTTGTGACTGTCAATTAAGAACAAAGTGAAACTCCTTGTAACATGATCATTTTCTTGATCGTGCTCCTCTTTTCTGCGACACTTCTAGTTTCACTAATAGTTCCTCCAGATTACAGACTTTTATAAGTGAGACTTGGAAAAACAGAATCCTCTGTATGCACCCTGCTGTGTGAGATGCAGTGAAATCCTCAGACTGCCCTCTGACTATCACACCAGCTACCTGGAGGCATCAGAATGGCTCTAGCAGCTTTGCCACCTTCTGTCCTCTGTCTAGGAGGACAGTCCTAGAGAATCATTTCTTGGTTAATTCCTAATTTCTTGGTTAACTCAGTTACCAGTTACCCAGTCCTAGAGAATCATTTCTTGGTTAATTCCTAATTTCTTGGTTAACTCCTAATCAATTTTCTTTCTAAATACTTGGAAGAAGTAGCGTTCCACGTCGGAGCTGTTCTGTTCTCAAAGGTGTAGAAATCCTTTATCTGTAAATTTTATGTTAGATAACTACGAATTTCCAAATTTTAATAGTGCTATGTTTGCTATGATCTATAATAGGTTAAAATCTTCATACAGCTCAAAGACAGCTGAGGAACAGTGAAATTCCAGATCCATAGGAGAGGCAGATAGGCTGATCCAACTATTAGCAGACCCTAAGATTTTTAAAACACCTCGTAAATGTGGGTGATACAATGGATGTCTAACCATCCAAATGGTCCGATGTTTAAGAATTATACTCTACTTCATACTAGAAAGGATCTAAAATATTTTTAAATAAATATTTTCAATTAACCCATAGAAATTAAAAAAATACATAAAAAACAAAAATCAAGAAAAACATACTTCTGACGGGAGGGAAAGTCAGGGGAAGGAAAAAGCTGAATGCCAGTCTTCAAGAGACACAACAAAGTTGTCATAGTTGGTCTTTGATTTTGGCTCCCAGCTTCCTGACAACTAAACCAAGAGAGAATCTTGAGCACTTCCACGGCTTTCACTAATCACCAGGGGAAACACATTCCAGTTTTTAAAGGGAAACCAAGCTCTTCCCCTGGTGAAAGTCCCTGTCTCGTTTGTATTTGCATCCTGTACTCCACAGAGCCTGGAGACCTCCAGTATTAATTACCTCAAGCTGTCCTTTTTTAACTACTTAATTCTAAAAGGAATTTCTCACATAGAGCTTCATACAAGGGACCCTGGGAAATTCAGGGGGCAGAATCCTTAATAACAGGTCTAAAGTAAATGAAGTGATGGTTTCATCCAGCTGTTTTTGGTTGTATGCCTTGTAACATACAACAGAGAAACATACAACCGTCAGAGAAATGACTCACAGAAGCAATCTTGCGGTGCAGGTGGGATGTCAAGCCTAATGATTTCAGAGTGCTGATTTCTTTTCTTTCTTTCTTTCTTCTTCTTCTTCTTCTTCTTTTTTTTGATGGAGTCTCACTTTGTCACCCTCAGTAGCATGCTGTGGTGTTATAGCCCACAGCAACCTCAAACTCTTAGGCTCAAGCAATTCTCTTGCCTCAGCCTCCCAAGCAGCTGGGCCTGCAGGCGCCCACCACAAAACCCAGTTATTTTTAGAGATGGGGTCTTGCTCTTGCTCAGGCTGTTCTCGAACCTGTGAGCTCAAGCAATCCTCTGTCCTCGGCCTCCCAGAATGCTAGGATTATAGGCATGAGCCCCTGCACCCAGCGTGAGAGTGCTGACTTCTGAAGGACATGTTTGATCCAGAATAAAATCTAGAGTATCTGTGAACAGACTGTCCTTTACATGTCTACACGTATTCACCATTTCTCTCAATTGAACTTCTGATAATAACTACACGGCACGTGATTATATTCAAATGTTTCACTCTGGTAAGGGTAAGAGTGCAGGTGCACTTGTGGCTGGGATTAAGAGCAGATTAATAGGCTCATGTTGGGCAGTAACAAAGCATTATCAGGGATCCTTCTCTCAGCTCAGATCTCAGAAGTGGACGGTGTACAGAAAACCGAGCAATAGCAAAATGGAGATGGCTTAAATGGGAGGTGTCTTTTCTCCCAGGGTAGTCCTCTTATTTATTAGCTGGGAGATGTCTATGACCATATAAGTCATACCACATGGAAAGGGAAAGTGATGCTTAGACCATGGTCTTGAGGGTGGATTCAAACCTTGGAAGGCTGCCTGGTAGGCAATGGGGCAAAATGGGAAATTAGGATAAGGACTGAAGGCTCTGAGAAGTCTGGGAACAGACTTGGGGTGCTTTTAAGTGTCTGGTTTCCCCCCAACTTTATGGCTAACATTATGCGACTTGTAAAGTGTAGTGCTTTCTTCTATAGTCACTGATACCTTAAATTATGGTATTACTTTCTGCTTATTAAAGCAGGCAAAACAGAAGCTTCATTTTCTCTGCACTGATAAGTGACAGAGAGAGGATGAAGGTTTTTGTCCACTCTGGATGGAGTCTCCATGCACCTATACATCATCAGGCCCTAAGTCAGGCTGACTCCAGGGTGGATGTGGTCAATGACGCCTCTCAGCATCCTGAGATCATGCCATTACCTTGAACTTCTCCTCATAGTTCTCGAAAGCTTCCATGACCATACACACAGCCTCCATTGAGCGCTGAAGCCGGCCATCTACCCCGTTGAATCGGTACATGCTACCAGACACATCCACCACGAGGCGCAGACGTTTGGGTTTCTGTTGTGGGCTGCCCAGCTGAGGGAAAGAATGACGGAGAAGCCTCGTGAGCCAGCACACCACCCGTGGACACTGTCCTGAAGCTCTCATATAGCCTCAGAGTGCTAACCATGAAGTGGGCAGAACAGCTGTAGGCTCAGCCCTGCACATGGCTTCCTAGCAGGTGGGAAGGCATCCACAGACTGCATTTCAGTAAATAGAATTTCAGATTTGTGCTGGTATTTGGGGCTATATGGAAAAGATTTCCCTTTGAAACATAGTCCTTGTAAGGCCCGCTAGTAAAATTGCCTTACTGAGGCTGATGCCTTAAGAATAATATCATGTCTTATTTTTTTTAAATGCATACCTTAAAGTTTTATTTATTTATTTATTTATTATCCTTTGAGATTCATTGAGGGTACAAAGAATTAGGTTACACTGATTGCATTTGTTAGATAAAGTCCCTCTTGTAATTGTGTCCTGCCCCCAAGGAGTATTCCAAACACCATGATCCCATCCCCTTCCCCCCTCTCCCTGCTCCCTCATTCCCCTTCCTCTCCCCCCTTTGTATTAGCTTATCTGCTGCATTCATATTAGGATTGAGTACGCTGGATTCTTGCTTCTCCACTCTTATGAGGCTTTACTAAGAAGAATGTGTTCCACCTCCATCCAGGTTAATACAGAAGATGTAAAGTCTCCATCATTTAATATGATTTCTTAAAAATAATAATCTAGAGAGATCTAAACTGCAACATGTCATTGTCACCTCATGACTTAGAGTAACTCTAGTAAGAGTTTACGTTATTTTTGAAAGAAGCCCACATCAATTTTACTTATACTTGTTGTCTAGTAACCTGAAAATCATTTCCACATACGCCAAGAGAAATGTCAGATTCCAAAACAGAGCTATATGAGAGGGGTTCTAGCAAAGATTTAAGAAGAAAAATTTTTTTATTTTTTGAGACAGAGTTTTACTGTCACCCTTGGTACAGTGTCGTGGTGTCACAGCTCACAGAAACTTCAAACTCTTGGGCTTAAACAGTTCTCTTGCCTCAGCCTCCCAAGTAGCTGGGACTATAGGCACCCATAACACCCGGCCATGTTTTGGTTGTAGCTGTCACTGTTGTTTAGCTGGCCCAGGCTGGGTTTGAACCTTCTAGCCTCAGTGCATGTGGCCAGTGCCTTACCCACTGAACTATGGGTGCCACCAAGGAAAACTTTTTTAAAATGTCTTTTGTCTTGGCCAGGCACGGTGGCTCATGCCTGTAACCCTAGCATTCTGGGAGGCTGAGGCCAGTGAATTTCTTAAGCTCAGGAGGTCAAGACCAACCTGAGTAAGAGCAAGACTCTTTCTCTATTAAAAGTAGAAAAGCGAGCTGGGCATAGTGGTACTCGCCTGTAGTCCCAGCCACTCAGGAGGTCCAGGGTGACAAAATGAGACCCTGTCTCAACAACAACAAAAAATGTCTTTTGTCTTCAGTAAGCTTTATTTTTCCCCTTCTTCTAGTTACTGAACTATGGCTTCTCTTTCCTTAGCAGTGAAAAGCAAGAAAGGGGCATCTACCTGCTACCTAGAAACAATTGTAAATTAAAAGGTGAAAAGAGATTCAATTTGATTTTGGACCTATGAATGTCAATTGTCGATTAAAAATAAAGTTTGTCAGTTTACTCACAAAAAAAGAAGAAAAATTCCTGATTTTTTTGTTATCACATATTTGCTGACATGTCTGAAAACTAATGCGCAGAGTTAATAATTTTGAGAAAATACTGTGGGCATTAAAAAGTAATGATTCGAGGCAAAATTTAACATATTTCCCAAAAACTTGGTGAGTCTGCCCAAATTAATAACACTGCCATATATGTTTCCATGACTACTCACAATTTCAGATGTATCCAAATGCATTTGTTGACCACAATGAGTCAGTAAAGAGAGCAGTTGTTGACTCATGCCAATAAGAACTCCCCAAATTGCCACCAGCTCCTCTCTAAATAAACATTTAAATGCAGAGACTCCCCCTCTCCCACCACTCCCTGCAACCTCAGCACTCAGTGGCTGCTCAGCAATTCTGGTTATTCTGGAAGATAGGTGATCAGATCATGGAGTTCTCCAGGAGACTCATTATTTTATCCTGTTGCCATTTTTTTGCCATTGTATTGGAAATACTTTTCAATTATAGCTGTGTAAAACTTTACAAATTATAATTATTGTTGTTCAAGGAGATTTACTTATTTCTTAAAATTTTCTCTCCCTGTATGATGAACACAGACAGCTCTTGGGTCTTAGAAAGTTACCCCCGAATATGCTGCTTTGACATGTGGGCTGGAGTAACTGTTTTCTCACTCTGAGTTACACCCCTGTTACGTTTGCCTAAACTCCACTCATTCCTTTGTAAATGGCCTTTGTACAGACCATTCCTTAAGTTACCCAGTTTGGGCATGTCTTATGTTTCTTGCTGAGACCTTGACTTCTATAATGAATAGTATGTATTTTTGTTTCTTCTTCTTTTTTTAATAATGCTTTTCCTTGTTTGTCATTTTCAGAGTTTATGATATTTTGACAGAACTTGAGAAAGCAGGTTTCTGTAATGAAGGCTAAACTGTGCATATCTGAGACAGCTAGTTACTTTACTTACCTGGGGCTCAAGCTCACCCCGACGTTTGTAGATGGCTTTTTCTCCAGTCAGCCCATCAATGATCTTGGCATCATCGAGTTCCCCAGTAGCTTGGTGTCTTAGCCACTGTCTTTCTTTACCTTTAGCCTTCAATGACACATAGACACAAAAGCCTTATTTTAATTAGTTCTGCAGGGTCTCTGACACACTTTGTGTGTGGAATAACAGAAAACATACCCAGGACCTTTTCAGTAAGTGATGGTTTTGCATGAACATGTTGCATAAATGGACTGGTTTTTGCTCTGCTGACAAAGAAAAGCTCTTTGTGGGATTTTGTCAGTTTTAATTGCTTTAACATATGGAACAATAAAATGAACTCACTTAAAACATCCATGAACAGGAAAATGGTATGCAAACGAACCCCTGGAGATATGTTCACTATCTGCAGTGTAATGGTGATGAATTTCTTATGGACTATTTGTCACGGTGCTTCTAGGAAATTTATTAGTTAACAAAATAATCACCTTGAACTTGTTAACACTGTCTGCAAGCCCAGAGAAAATACGATCCTCAGAGCTCTTTCTCTTGGAAAAGAACTTTTGTTACTCAAGTTCTCCATGACCTAGTGGACAAATGGAAACAGCTGAAAACAATAGTGTGTGAACATTTTATACCCCACATCTCTCTGATCTATACTCAGGAATCTTCTGAATTACTTTTCAAAGATATTTCCACCTAATACTTTAGCACAATAACTTACAACCATGCCAGATGGACTAAGGTGGTAGTAAAATGATAAAGAATTACAATATTCCAATCAAGGCACTAACTATGATTATTACAGCAACAGCTACATGTACATTACAAAATGGGAAGAATAGCTAAAATATTTTTATGTGTGTGAAGGAGCTTAGGAAATTTTATCCCAAAATATGACTTTACTTTGAAGTAAATACCTTCAGAAGATCAATGGGCCTTGGAAGGGGCTTTCTTCTTTCTTCTTAAAAAACCAGACCCATCAAAACAATAATCTTCCCTTTCCCTCCTTGTTATCTCAATATATTATAGGAAAGAAGATTAAACATGCAACCAGACCTGGCCAGAATCATTTTAAATATAATGTAACAGAGGGAATGGACTGAGGTAAAATGGTTTAGGAACTGTCCTTTTATCCCCACCTCTTTTGGAATTAATACCCACATCCCAGCCCGAGGCCAGTAATCAGGACAGGGAGTGTTCTTTGTTGTTTTTTGTTTTTTGTGGGTTTTTTTTTTTTTTTGGTACCACAGGAGATGGCTCAATGAAATTGTCTGGGCAGAGGTCTCGGATTGCTTTCCCCAGAAATGGGGTAGAACAGGACCATCAGGGATAGTTACATGGCAATATCCCTAAGCTGAAACTCCTTTAAAAGCTCTGTATTTCTGCTTATAGTTAGGATAATGGTACTTCAAGACACAAGTCCACTATTCTCCTCATTTGCTGGCAAATTAATAAACTTCTCTTTCCTTCTCAAACCACTTGTCCACTTTGGGGACAAGTACCAAACTTTTGATAAGAATAACACCTGTCTCTCAGGTTAATTTCCTAAGAGAATAATTTACAAGTCTGTTTTCCTCATCCATTCATTCCCCCAAGTATCTACTCATCCCTCCGACTAACCATTTATTGGCCCTAAGCAGAATTACCTATATTTCTCATCTTTCCCTTTACCCTAAAATGAGGGTAGATAAACCTTGGACTCCACTGGGATACTGGATAATCACTCTCTGATTCTGCCTCTTTTATTTACTAATCTGCCTTCCTGTGAGCTAATCTTTCAGCAAAACTTATAAGCCAAAAAGGAAATTTCCCCTCACACCACACATGGAAACTAGAGTAATAGTTAAGACGGCGTGTTCTGGAGCTTGGTTCTAATAGTTCTCTTACCCCTGCCAGATAGCTGACCTGAGGTAAGTTACTTAATCTGTCAGTATCTCAGTTTGCTCATCTCTAAAATGAAGATCACACTGGCATCCACCTTAGAGAGTTACTGTGAAAATGACATGGGACACTACATGGAATCAGCTAGGAAGGGCCTTGGCGCTGTCCATTAGCTGGCACTGTTAGTAGTAAGTCTACACTAAGTTAAGCAGGGTTCCATCACTGTTTCATGGGAAGTGGCTGTGTGACGGCACTGCCACTGGAAATACAAAGCTGAGCCTCAGGCAGCCGGTGTCACTTTTAGGGCCAAAGTAGCCTTTATACAGCTCCATACACTATAATTCTAGGTATGACAGTATGTTTTCCTGTTCCTGACACCCTTGCTGTAAACAGGTACAAAATCACCATATTTGAATACAGATATATTAAAGTGAACAAGAAATAAAGAGAGGGAAAGTCACAGCATAAAGATATTAATTTTGGTAGGCAGTTAATTCTAGAAACTACCAGGTATAAGCCCCTTGGGAGTATTTTCTTTCCAGGTATGTGTTCTTGGCAAGAATCCCATGTTCTTGGGACAATGGGACACAGTGGAGCATAGGTATCATGTAAAACTTGATAAAGATACACAGATACAGGTGGTGCCCGTGGCTCAAAGGAGTAGGCGCTGGCCCCATATGCCAGAGGTGGCGAGTTCAAACACAGCCCCGGCCAAAAACATAAAAAAAAAAATACATAGATATGGGTGGTATGAGGAAGGGGTATACGCAGACTCCCAGAATCCTTTCCCAGTGGCCTGTCTATGGATCAGACAGGCAACCTTGACCACACAGTGCCATCCTTCTCAGCTCCCCCTCCCCCAAAAGTGATTGAGATTCAGGTCTTATCTCCTCTTTCTTGTCATTCTTGGTGTCTGATATGTACAGTTTCTCAGGCTGCCAACATACTTTATGCCAAGAGATGCTACTGTGGATGACCACTTAGGTACCTTTGATCTTGACATTATACGACTTTTGGAGGTACCAAGCTGTAGAGCTTTGGCTTTTAATGCCCTTCATAGGTGAGGAGAGACTCTTACTGACCAGTCTAGACTGGGAAAACTAGGGTCTGCTAAACCACAAGTCCAACAGTACTGTGGGATCCTCTCTTTGAGACATGCTAATAATTAATGCTTATAAAAACGATAAAAGGGATTCCTGTCTAGGACATGTGTTCTTCTTATTGCACTTGGTGAGGAGGTTCTAGCATTATAAAATGCTTTTCCCTTATTCCCCTTAGATATTATTACATTTGCTATCTCTGGATTTGCTATTATCTAAGAGTAGATGCTTGTGTTAATGTGCTTTCTTTTCCTTCTTTCCCCATAATGATTGTCACCTCTTACGATACTCCCTAGGGCCTGGCTTGAAGAACCTGTTTCCATTATGTGGGCTGATAAAAGAAGAGAAATTAGGAAAACTTGCAGTGAGAGCGAGGCTTTTCCCAATAAATCTGTTACATTTTGGTTCCTTTTGAGGAGTCAACTTTTCAAATTTAAGTATAATGTACTTGTGATGAAGCACGTGAATCTCAAAGGCAGAACTCAAAGAACTTTTACAGAGGTGTGCAACCTTTTATTTTCTCTGCCACACATTGGAAGAATAAGAGTTGTCTGGGGCTACACACTAAATACACAAACACTAATGAAAGTTGACCAGCCAAAAAAAAGTTGACACCACAGATACGCAAAAAAAGCCTCACCACATCCCTGTTATTACAAAGAGAACATGGCATCTCCACCCCCCACACCTCCCAAGCCTTCCAGGGCTCTGTTCTAGATTTTCTTTCCCCTGGCAAAGGTGAGCCCTATTCTGACCTCGATCACCACAGAGTAACTTCATCTGTTTTTGTACTTTATAAAAACAGAGTCATACAATATATACTCTTTGTTCCTGGCTTCTCTGACTTAACATTCTCCCAGTGGGAGTTACCTTGTCTGCACGGCAGTACCTTATTTCCTTTCCACCATATGACTCTGTCACGATTTACCCATCCTACAACCACTGTTTTCGGTGTGGGGCTACCATGAAGAATGTTTCCACAGGTATTCCTGAACACGTCTTGAGGAGCAGGTGTGTGCACATGGCTCTTTGGTAGCAGTTCTGGGTCACAGAGTATGGACAGATTCAGTATTAGTGGATACTGATAAACAGTTTCTCCAAAGGCATTTGTCCAATTTACATTCCCATGAGCAATGTACGAGGGTTTCATTCGCTCATATCATCACCAACACTTGATATTGACAACTTAAAATAATTTTTTTTAGCCATTCTGGTGGGCATACAGTACACTCCCTTCATCTTTATCTTTATTTGTGGATAAATGAATTAATTTGGGTACTGCTTGTCATCGATATTTTTAGGAACATGAACTAGTAGTTTCTGTTTTTGAGAAGCAGAAGTATGTATCAGTCTTTTGATCCAGAACTACTGGGCACAAACACATTTTTATAATAGCAGCACTGTTCATAAGCTTAGTTCTGGAGTATGTAACTTGCAGATATATATGGGCAAAAAATTTATTTTCTATCCTTTGGCCAGTTCGCCAATACTTGGAAACTCAAAACAGGAAGAAGCTGGACAGAACAGATGCTCTTGGGGGCAACGGGCTGGAGGGGGAGCTCTTTAGAAAGTTACTGAAGGCTGAATAGAAATATTTATTATTTTGGACTGTGAATATAAAGGCTTCTGTATTTTATGAGACTTACTGAAATATTTCTGTAAATAGTAAGTTCCCACTGCATTTAACTCTATGCTTTTATCTCAAACAAAGGGCAGACATGCTATTTATTACATAGGGTGTCCCAAAAGTCACCAGACATAGGAAAAATGGGAAAGTGCAGCTATGTGTACCTTTATTCACAAGATGTTTATTACAAAATTTTATGTGTTGGTCACATTAGCTACTATTTCCCATTTTCCCTGTGTATGGCAACGTTTGGGAAACCACGAATATTCCTATAGCATGAAGTAAAGTATCCTTGTAAATACGCCCATCTGTTTTGTATTATACAGTAAATCCATACTAATGAGAACTCATAATATATAAAGCTAGGTTGTACTAATAAAAAGTCTATGTCATAGACTTTCTGAAAAAGAAATATAGTTTTACTACTTTCACATAAAGAACACTTAACTGAAATACTCAGAGAATGATGTATTCTGGTTAATTTGTTTTCTGGGAAATAC